GGTGGCGCACGCCTTTAATCCCAGCACTCGGGAGGCAGAGGCAGGCGGATCTCTGTGAGTTCGAGGCCAGCCTGGTCTACAAGAGCTAGTTCCAGGACAGGAACCAAAAAAGCTACGGAGAAACTCTGTCTCAAAAAATTAAAAAAAAAAAAGCTATAAATGCACAAAAATAGAGCTGCGCTGGGCCTCCTAGTTTCATGATTTCCTGCCAACAGCAGCAGTGCAGAGGCGTATCTCCCAACACCTGCCTATAAGATGGAGCTGGCTACCAGCCACCATGAGCTAAGCGGCATGGTGGGTTTCCACAGTCTCACACAGGTCTCGGTACAGAATGGCTAATCTTACTCATACAGACAAAACAAAAAAGTTTGTGGGCTTGTGGGCCAGCTGCATGCTACCTGATGGGGGAGGGGTATAGGAGGGGAGCAGGGGTGGGGTAATAGTGAAACCCGTTGCTACCTCCATCGTATTGAAAAGTAAAGCATGGCAGAACCAACAGCCAAAGTAGGCACTCTGGTCCTAGCCACGCCCACTGGACAGTTTAAAACAGTGATCAAAAAATATTACAGATTAATAAATACAGGTTCTAAACGGGTCACAGTGTGCCAAAAAATATACATGGCTTGGGAGAAAGGGAAAGAGTATAGAGAGTTATGAAAAATAATTTTTAAAAATAAAACAAAGTCTTTAAAGAGACAGTAAAGGTAAAATAAAAGGCCACAAAAGATGGGAAGTACACCGAGGACCTGGATTAAGTAGACTACTGTGTTTTCTTTGAATTTTTTGACTGCTAACGAGCTGACTACAGAGAGACATTTGGTTGTGGGGCTGTTAAGCTAAGCCAACATGAAGGTATCTGCAACACCAGTTACCACTCTAGTGGAACGCCACCGTCCACACCCTCATGCCGCTATGAGTTCATCTTAGGGACTTAACAACCTTGCACTGACCTGGTGGATACACAGACTGATTGCTACTTATTTATGTTCCGTTTTTTTCCTTAAGCAGGTTTTACAAATGACCCTTGTCTCACTTTACTGCATTTCTGAAGCTCTTAGGCCTTCGTGATTTCTGTGAGGCTTGTTAAACAGGGGTCTACCAATAGCCTCTGCTTTCGGAGGGCAGAAGGTGGAACCCAGGGAGATAACCATGTGATAAGAATGCGGTATACACTTCAAAATCCACAATGGATTCCACAAACGAAACAAGAGTGGCTGTAGTGTCGGGCTACCACAGACCTCCAGATGACGGAGTTGCCGGCTCACAGACCCCACCTTTGGGGAGTCTCTGAACGCATTTGCTCCCTTTCTCCATAGGCACACGCACACAGCACACACCGTGTACAAGATGCCCTGTATAAACAGCTCCAGCTGTAAACCAGGTGTTTAGGTGTCACTGACTCTTGGTCATTTCCTTCATGTTTGTAGAGCACCAACTTGCTATTTTTTCCAGTACTGGAGATTAAGCCCAGGGCCTCACGCATACCAGACAAGTGCCCTGCCTTGGAGCTGTGCCCTTCTCCTAAGCACCGCTAATTTTGCATTTTCTGCTGATGTGCATCTGGGGCAGGGCTACTCTGATGCACACAGAGCCCCTGTCCTAACGGAGTTCATCCTTAGTGCAGCCCTGCCAATGGAAGTTTCTGCAATGGTGTGGCCTGTAATACAACAAGCTACTTTCAGTATGAGTTTAGCTCTCAAGATATGATATATTCATCTGTCTCACAAGACAATCTGGGGGTTTTATATCAATGGGAGGATGTATTTAACATTGTCCTCAATTCATACTTATGTTTCAATAATGTTTTAATTTTCAAAAAATTTTTATTTATTTATTTACCATGACTTGTATAATGGCAAATCCACTTATAATTTAAACAGAAACAGCTTCATTGACTGCTGTATTGGAGGGCTAGGGAATCTACATCATGCTATTATTCACAGAGGTTTTGCCAAAATGCATTTATTTCTTGTTCCTCAGGAAATTAACAGTATCTAGAGGCAGGAATATATGTAAATACCTTATTAAATTGCATAATTTCCATCGCCTTTGTGAAAAGCCTAGACTTAAGAGCTCGAGGTGCAGACACTGGAGCTAAATGCTATCAAAGGATATTAAGTGTATAAAGTCACACTTGGTTAGGAAGAGGCTTTGTAACCCTTTTCCTAAATACATTTTGGTCAATTGTCATTTGAGCTAGATCTTGAGGCAGGAAGACCCAGGCTTTTATCTGGATCTTGACACAGAGGGATACACACCTTTAATATAGATTTTGAGGTGGGAAGACACTCTTAGTCTGGGCCACACCTTCTGCTGGAAGCCTGTATAAGGACAATGGAAGAAGGAAGGGATTGTGTTCGCTCCTCACCTGCTTGCCCTCAAATTGTCAGCACATCCATTCCTCACTGGCATTGGAGCCCACTTCTTCTGGACTCCAGCATATACAGAAGACCAGCTGAGACACTCAGCCTCATGGGACTGAACAACTGCTACATCCCCGGGCTTTCCATTCACAGCTAGACACTGCTGGACTGCAGCCTGTAAGTCACTCCAATACACATGCACACACACACACGCACACACAGATACAGACAAAAATTGAGAGACAGAGAGAGACAGACAGACAACAGACACACACACACACATACACACACACACACACACAGAGAGAGAGAGAGAGAGAGAGAGAGAGAGAGAGAGAGAGAGAGAGAGAGAGAGAAACTGAGCAAGAGATTCATTCTGTAAGTTCTGAGTCTCTAGAGAATTCTTACTAATACAGTGTGGGATGGAAGATACCAAGGAAACCATACCTTCTACATACAATCAGATTGATGCACATATGAACTCAACATGGGAGCATGCACAGGGACTGCACAGGTCAAGACAATTGGGGTCCAACTAAGAGAAGTGAACGCATGCCCCCACCCCTAACTCAGAGGCTAACTCCAAGTGTCAACCACTTGTAAAGGAAAAACTACTTTTCCCAGTGGAGTCTCACTTGGTATACCAACCATCCCTTGTCTGGCAATAGATGGCCAACACAAAATTAATTCAGTGATATTTTTAGAGATTCTCTTTTTGTCTCCTAAGGTTTTAGGATTTTTTTTACTTTACTGGTTATTATGCTCATATATTATGGTTTTCAGATTTTGTGTTTTTAAGGGTTGTGTGTATGCATATAATGTATTTCTTGTACTTTTTCTGTTTTGTTTTATTCTTTTTTGCTTGCTTTTCAAAAGAGAGGGAGAGTGAGAAAGAAGGTATACAATTGGATGGGGGTAGGGAGGATCTCGGAGGACATGAGGGAGAAGCCATGACTGGAATATACTATATAAACATTAAGTTTCAATCAAAAAAGTATTGTTCCAGATTCTAGACAGGTGTTTGATCTGTAATGATCGATATCATCCATGCGTGAGAGGATGAACTCAGAAAGTGTGTAAAACTAAAGCTTTTTTTCTAGTTCGTGTTGTGTATTTTAGGCAGTTGTTCTGAGATCTTTCCGTGTGCTGGGTACTGCAGACTTGGGAACTTCCACGCTTATCCTTGGAGTACGATTGTGGTGTTAGGATTTGAGACACAATGGGAATGTTAGGAGGTGTGGTCTACTTGTTAAGTGGGGCAGTGGAGGTGAATCTCTGAAGGATGTCTCTTGTACCTGTCTGTTCCTGGGTTTATCTCTTGTGCCTCTGCCTCACCAGGCCTTTCTCCAAGGTGATCCTTCTTACCATAGACCCAAACACAGAGAGAGTTGAGCGCCAAGTGAAACCTCTGCAACTGTGAGCCCTAATCAACTCCTTACGTGTTAAGCAATCTCTCATGTGTGTTTGGTGCGGCGACAGAAGTACTAACTACTAAAGGGTTTGATCCCAATCTTCTGCTAAGTGAGTAGGGCTGCGTCATGGTTCCTACTTGGGCTGCCTTGGAAGGAGAGGTGCATGCTCGAGAATTGAGGACTGGCTAGTCTGTACCTCTCACAGCATCTCTGCCCTTTACAATTGTTCCCGCTTCCCCTTTCTAGGCTCCCATCCTCTGTGTACCTCTGTCGAGATGTTGAACGGAGACTAGTCTATTTATTTATTTTGGTCTTTCGAGACGAAGCTTCTCTGGGTAGTCTTGGCTGTCCTGGAACTAGCGCTGTAGACCAGGTTGGCCTCAATCTCACAGAGGTCTGCCTGGAATGCGCCACCATTCCCCAGCTTAATGCCACTGTTCTACTGAGACTACCCTCTGGGGTTTCTGGCCACGCTATGAAGGAAGTGAGTGCGTTGGCTTTAGGTCTGTTCCACTGCTCCTTCTAGAGAGCTGGCTAGCTCACCCTCCCACACACACTACTCTGACAGCAGAAGCACTTACCGCGCAGTGGGAAATTTCACATTCAGTTTATTCCAGGGTAGACTGGGCTCAGCGACTATTGTCAGTGGGCACCTGAATGAACAAGGTTCTTCTTTTCAAATGGAATGAAAAAAAAAAAACCTCAGCTAATTGTAAAATTCTTGAAAAAGTCTATTAGTCAAAGTTACTAGAATCTATTTTTAACATTTATTTACTTAGCATGTACCTGTAGTGTGTGTGTGTGTGTGTGTGTGTGTGTGTGTGTGTGTGTAGGTACTCTCGGAGGTCAGGAGAGGGCACTGAATCCCCCTGAACGGGAGTGATAGGCAGTTGTGAACCATTCTTCATAGATGCTGGGAAATGAACTCTGGTCCTCTGGGAGAGCAGCAAACACTTTTAAGTGCTGAGTGATCTCTCCTGTACTTTTATACAAAATGATACTTTTATACAAAAAGCTGTACTTTTATACAAAATAATAACAGCTAACACAATAGAGTAACATTTACACTTGAAAGAGCTATAAATGGGTGCCCCTTTATAATAGATACAATTACAGCCCTCACCTGTGGACCAAAAAGTTTCCAAGTTCACACAGTTCAGTCACTTAACAGACACAGACCAAACATGTGCTGTGCCCAGTGGGCACTGCTGGGGGTAAGGCCGGCAATCCTCAACCCGAGCAGAGCTAAGACCACATTTATACAGTCAAGCAGCTAATGCAGCCAGATGGAGCTCCAGAAAAACAAGGCAGCTGCCCTCTTTATTATTGTTTGCTGTTTGAGCTGAGAATTTCCAGCATTTTTTATGTCTCTGGGGTCAATCTTCATTTACAGTTTTTCCTCTTTTTAGCACAATGCATGTGAATTAGTGTACCTAAACCCAACAAAGAAAGCCCTGGGAAGGGACACTGACACCAGTGTCAGGTTTGTCCAGTAGAGCTGAGAGAACACTGTGACAGTTGAGTTGGAGCTTAGATTACAGCCTCTAACACCAAGGGTAAGCGAGGGCTTCAGTTTTCAGTCCTGTCCCTTATCACTTACAGAAAATGCAACTTCTGGGAGGAGCATGCTGTCTTTTGAGTCCAAAGGACCAGTGGGCCTTTTAGTCTTGTTTTATTTTAAAATTGTGTGTGTGTGTGTGTGTGTGTGTGTGTGTGAACTTTAAGAGTTAGTTCTTTCCATCCACTTTTACATGGGTTCCAGGGATTGAAGTCAGGTAGCCAGGCTTGCCCAGAAAACACATCACCCACTGAGCCACCTCTTCAGCCATGACCCTTTGTTTAAGTGACTCAGGGACAGAGCACTCCAGAAAGGACAGTTTACCTGCCATGGGAGTTTGAGAAGACTTACCTAAAAAAACAAAAGCATTTGATGGAAAACCAAAACAAAACTGAATGTTTCCAAGTGTGCAGAACTGCTTTTGAAGCGGGGTGACAGTGACACCCATGGCCATCGTGGTCCTGAAGATTGTGCGTCCTCACAACAGCAAACTCAGCTACAGAAAACCCCCAGAACCACCCATGGCAAGGTATAGCTTTATGAGACATGATAAGTTTTTATCATTTGAAACATACTACCAGTAGATTGATAGTGCCATTATTATCTTGGAGTACAAATTGCTTTTCTCTGGACTGTGATATGAGAAGTGCTTAGTGATACTGAAGGGGCAAAGGGCCATCCGCTTCTGCCCTTCTAGAACCCATAAACCTAAGGAGGAGAAAGGGTCCAGGAGAAACGTGATTGCGGTGTCCTCTTGTCCCCCAGCACGAGCAATAAGCCTTTGGTTCCATGGATTTTAACCCCGACCTGTATAACAATTACCTCGCAGTGTTCCATATTGACCAATGCCTGGCCCTTTACACAGAAATGCTCCCTTCTTTGCAGTGGAACCTGAGCCTTTAAGTTCCTCTGTAGTGTAATCTCAGGCAAAGGTGAGACCAGACGCCTTTGGGAATGCAGAAACAGGAACCTCTGCTGGGCGGAGCTAATGCAGGGCTGGGGAAGCTGTGCTCTTTGTGGGTGACTTCACTGTGCATCCTCTCTGAAGGACGAGCAGGGATGGAGAGGTGTCCTGTTTGCTGTCACCATCGCTGCTGCTTGGTCAAGAAGAGAGGAAGGTGGATTCAGTTTCTGGATTTCTGTCAAAACACAAGCAATTCCAGACTCTGCAGCTTGCCTGCCTTCTGCATGCCACACTGTAAGTGTGTTGGTCACAGGAAAATAACAAGAGTCAGCTCTCTCCTTCCACCATGTAGGTTACAGGGATTAAACTCTGGTCTTTAGGCTTGGGAATAAGCATCCTTACCCACTGAGACATCTCACCAGTCCTTTAGATTATTGTGAGTTTGTTTGATGTCCATGTGTACATGCCCTACATTGTGTGTGGAAGTCAGAGGGCAACTTGTGAGAGTCAGTCTGCCTGGGTTCTCATTGTGGGTTCTGGAGGAGTTTTACCCACTGAGCCATCTTTCCAGCCCTGACATTTCAATTCATGTGACTCCAAAGCCCACATTCTTCTCATTAAGCTTCTTTTAATGTCTTCTCACAGTTGCCATATATAATGTATAATGTATATGACCTCTAATGTGTTTAGCTCCCTCCTTGCTAGTCCACTGTTGGTTACAACCTCTTTGGAGGTCAAATGACTCTTTCACAGGGGTTGTTTAAGACCACCAGAAATATCAGAGATTCATATTATGATTCACAAGAGTAGTAAAATTATAGTTATGAAGTAGCAATGAAAATAATTTTATGGTTGTGGGTCACCACAACATGAAGAAATGTATCAAAGAGTCACAGCCTTAGGAAGGTTGAGAACCACTGGTTTAGAGTCTGATAGCAGCAACCAATCAGAACATAGTAGCTAGGCAGATCAGACAAGTAGGTATGACAAATGGGTCTCCCTTTCTCTGCCTTGGGGCTAGACTCCGGGTCTGTGTACATATTATAGAAGCACACTTCCAGTGAACTATCCCTAGACAAAGAAGTCTCTAGCTCTCTAAGAAGAGTAGCTTCTGGCCAAATGTGGTGGTTTGTGCTCATAATCTCAGAATTTGGAAGGCCAGGAGGATTGCTATGAATTCTAGTCCATGCAATGCTACAAAGTTAAGTTTGAGTCCAGCCTAGGATACAGAGCTGTAAACAGACTGATTGTTAATTTCCTGCTGCTCAGAACCAAATAATGACACAGAAACTATATTAGTTGCAACATTGTTTCGCCAATGGTTCAGGCTTCTTACCAACTAACTCTTACATCTTAAACTAAACCATTTCTATTAATCTGTGTATTGCCACGAGTCTGTGGCTTACCTAAGGTTCTGGCTAGAGTCCTTTTCCTTTGGTAGCTACATGGCATCTCCTCGACTCCTCCTACACTCTCTATATTTCTCTTCCAGACTGGTTATATTCTGCTCTGCCATAGGCCAAAGCAGCTTTATTCATTACCCAATAAAACAACATATATACAGAAGGACATCCCACATCATCTCCCCTTTTTCTGTCTAATTAAAAAGGAAGATTTTAACTTTAACATAGTATAATTACATATAACAAAACAGTTACCAAGCAGGAATTATAGTTACAATATTTAGTCCATTTACATTTGTCAACTTAAGTAAAATACTCTGCCATCTATCCTATCTTTGTGAGTCTAAAGTTTTATATCTAATTTATTCTTTATCATAACTAAACTAAGTAAAACTATATGTCTTCAACTCTTCAAAGACCCCAGAAGGATATAATGTAACCTAAGTTAACAGGAAGTGCATTATAAGCAACTTCAAAAACTCTAGAATTGACAGAGACAGCTGGCTGCCTGGACAGTCACCCAAAGTTCTTCTATAATGTTGGGGCATCTGTATTCAGCCTAAAGGCCCTTAATACCTGGCAGACTTTTCCATGAAGCAGAAAAATTAAAGATATATTCTGTCTTGTAATGGGAAAGTTCATCAGTTGCTTTCTTCTGTGTCCTGCAGAATGTCTGGCAGACTCTTTCATGAAGCAGGAACCCTAAAGGACTGTCTCACCTTCTTTAGGCAAGTTCACCAGTCATTTTTCTGTGGTTCCTGCATGTCCAGTTTATATAGCATAACATCAAGCAGTCTAGGCAAGAGCAGTTTCTTGCCCAAATGGCTAGCTTTGTCACATTGAAGGCAAATTCTATAATGAGTTTCTTCAATGCCCATCAACCTCTTGAAGTAATTGGTGCTGCCAGCAGCAGACACATCTCACTGTTTAGAAAAGTCTAAGTTCTTTTTTTTTACTTTAGAAAACATTAATTTTATTCATTTTTTATTTTTTTTATTGAAAAGAAAAAAATTTAAAAAATTTCCGCCTCCTCCCAGCCTCTCATTTCCCTCCCCCTCTTCCCACCCCTCTCCCCACTTTTCTCCTCCTCCCTCTCC